GCAGGAACATTTTTAGTAGCCATTGGAAGAATTCTTAGGTCAGGTATGTCTAATAGCTTTGCAGGAAAGCACCACTTGAGAGCTACTGCTTTTTAGGTGGGCTTAAGTAAGGCAGGTGACTTTCTGATTGTACAGAACTGTCTTCCTGAATCTGCAGGCAGCAGAAAATAGGATCAACTTGAGCATAATGAACTATCTGTCCACACTTGGTAGCTTCAATGTTAAAATCAGACAGCCATTTAGCTGCCAGGTTTATATGTTTTCTCTTGATTGGACTAGTTGGAACATCCAGTTATGGGAAAGGACTAGATCTTCAGATCCCTACAACTTTTACAGTGAAGGCTTGGATCCCTGTGTAACAACCTGAAGCTTTTGGGCAGTATCAGATTTGGTTTTCGTGCACTACTTCAGGAGCTGCCTGAGGCCTTCATGGCTCCATGTGCCATAGGTTAAAAAGCGCTGTGTTGAGCTCTATAATGCCAGGACAGGTGAGAGTGCTGGGCCTTGTGGGTGGGACACAAACCCTGTCCTCTGTTTGAAGAAACTTACTGCCCAGCAAGAAGAAATTAATTCCCTACATTATATCAGACTTTTGGGTTGTTCCCATTCACACCTGCAAACCCAAAGCCCTTATCCTAGTGCAGTCACACCCGTCTTTGTCCTAGTAACTCTTATGACTGCTCAGTATGAGCAGGCCTTACTGTACCTTTAGGAGGAGGAACCAAGTTCTGAATTCTGACATAAAACCAAAGAGTTGATTTCCTTTTCTCTTTCTAGATGTCACAATGGCAAAATCAGCAAAACTTATTCAACAGCAGCTGGAGAAAGAGCTGTAAGTATGAAATTGGATCTTAAGCCCTCTGAGCTTCTCTCTTCTCCTTTCTGTCTCTTACATCAGTGCTCAGTGAGCTCCCTTTAGCCACATCTAAGTTCACTGTAGAAAAAGAGCAGTCTGTTTTTTCTGTGTAGGTGTAACCAGGATGAGAGAAGATTTACAAGAAGACAGCTTCTTGCGAAAGCATGCAAAAAAGCAGTAGGCACAGACAGTATATTGCCTCCTAGAAGTTGTGGGTTGGAGAAACAACATCCCAATCCTTTCCTAATAGCTGCCATCCCTAGGCTAAGCGATACCCTCCGTGGCCCAGGGAGGTACCTGGGTCTTCTCTCAGGTACAGGCAGGGCTGGCTTCCGAATGTCAGACTTTCTGTGAGTGGTGTGAAGATCTCAGTAGCCCAGTTGTATTGGCACAGTTTTTTTTGCAGGGCTACTCTGATGCAAAAGGACTTCGCATGCAAAGCTTGAGAGCTGGGGAGAAATCTAGTTTTCCTGGTCTGCTAACAGGCATTGCTGGACCCTGTTTGGGACCTCGTGTTGGCTCTGTGTCTGCCCTAGGAAGGACATTAACCTGGGAAGACAAATGATGTATGATCTGTTGCTAATTTTAAGTTGTAAAAGGAAGTGGAAGGAGGAGAAAGTTGTTGTAGAGTGTGCTACATTGTAAGCTGCCAGCTGAATGAGCTGCAGCGTCAACAACTGGGAAGTCCATCTGGGGAGGGGGCAAGTAGAAGATGATTTTTTTTAAGCTATATTTAATCTCTGTGCATGAAGATTCTGCCTGTGAATCCCATAATTGTAGTTGGGTCAAATCTGCTCTGGGAGAGACCTGTGCAGCTCTTGTGCTGTGGTGGACTTCTCCACCAGCATCTAGTAGAGATTTTGCTTCCCCGCACACACTCAACTGGATATTTTGCCTTCCTGTTGCCTGTGGGTCCTGTTTGCTGGATTGCAGTTAGTGGCAAGGCAGTCTTGGGGGTAGGAGGAGGAGTGTAGCTCTCTGGTCTCCAAACAAATATATGTTTGTGGGATATGACCATATTGTTGCCAAGTGGTAGACTTGGCAGTGTTAGGTTTATGGTTGGACTCAATGATCTTAAGGGTGTTTTCCAACCTAAATGATTCTGTGATTCTATAATCTCTTTGGCCAGTAGATGGCAGCAGGGTTATTATTGCTGGTGCCTCTTCCAGCCTGAATACCTGACCTTCTGTTTTTAAGGGAGGAATCAGTTGCCACATATTCAAGCTCTCAAGGAAAATAAGCATTCCTTGGGTCTGATGTTGGGCATTTGGCAGTTATCTGTGTGTAGAAGATGGATTTCTAGGTAGGTTATATGTGCCCTATTAGGCAGTGTTATTCCTGCAGGCTGGCAGATTGCTGCCATCCTCTCCCTGTGCTGCTGTGCTTGGATGTCCTTGTGTGGAGAACCCAAGGAAGTGTCTGCTCTCTTACCTGTGAACTCACATCTCTGGGCAGTGTTTTTCTTTCCCTTTGCCCCATTAATTTAGCTCCATTCTGTGAAGAAGGAGTAGCTGGGGTCACTGAGAGCAGGCGCTGACAGGCTGCTCTGTCACTGGAAGAGACACAGCAGTCCAGCCTTGAGGCTCTACCAGGCAGTCAAAGACCTGGGGAGGGATTGCTGTTTGCATCTGTGTCTGGTGCAGCCCCTTGACTTCCCTAGCCTTGTTTTTTGGGACCTTGGAGGCAGACAAATCACAATGCCTCTGTGTTTGTTGGGCTGTTCCATCTCCCTGTGCTGCCTCTACCTTGGACACCTGGTGAGTATGGACAAGGAGGTCTATCCTTCCTTTCCACACGTGGCAGGGAGTTGAGATGCTGCAGCAAGCTGAAGGGCAGGAGCAGTAGTGACATTGCAGCCTGGTCCTTGGGCAGGCATTGCTCACAGGAGCAGAAGGGAGACTCGATCCCAAAGGTACTTGGTACACTCAGGTGGAAGAGGGCTGAGCCCCTGCATGATCCCTCACATCACGGGTGCCTCTCTCTTCCCAGTTAACCTGTTAAACTAGTGCAGATCCTGAGTGCTGTGGGCTAAACCATATGTAATGCCTGGTGACTGGTGTCTGCTATGGGGTTATTGGCGAAATTCAGATGAGGACATCATTGCCTGACTCTTGCTGTTTTTTATTACAGAACGAAACCTGCTTAAGCACCCTTTCCTTGAGTGGCCTCCTGTCTGTCTTGCTCTCTTGAGCCTCTCTGCAGTTGTGCCTTCCAGCGGGTATCTAAGAGCAGTGGCCAAAGTGCCTGCCCCTGTCTGTGCAGAGCCATGACACCTTCTATCCTTGGTGTAGCTGGTATCCTGTTGACAAAACTGGGTCCAAAACATCTCAGCAGCTATGGTGTAGGTAACATTCCCCTGG